CCCATCACTTCCCCCTCTGTCATTTTCAAATAGCTGACAATTATTCTCTCTCTTGCTCTCTAACATCTACTTAGCTGAAAGGAGCAGCTAGTCCATCGGCAAATTCATACACAAGACGGTTGCTTCGTTACTGGATTTAACAACCACTTCCCCACTGATTTAGACTACAATAATAAACATAATGACATAATGGAGGTGAACTCTTTTTTTGGCATAACAATCGTAATAGGCACTGTTTCCATGCTCTGCATTGCTTGTTTGACATCCCATCATGCTTTACCCTCATTATGATTGTCATCATAAATACCGGTTGTAAGCCTAATACTATTTTTATCCAATTCATGTGTCATTCACTCACTCACACTCTCACAAATCCAAAAGCAGTCTAAAACACCCGCCTGGATCAGTTGTGTATTTTGTAGGCTACATACCCCGTGTGTGTGTCTGCATATGTGTGGGTGTCTCTCATTTGGCTCTCTCGCTCTGTCCATATGTGCCTATTATCCGGCCGAGTGAGCACACACACACACACCTGCTCCCCACAATGCTCACACACGCGCACCTATACACACATATACATGCACCTGCTCTCATGAACGGCAACACACCCACCTGCTCCCCATTGATCTGTGACCCCCCCACAGACATTCCAGCATGCACTGACAGAGCAAAAAATCCACACAGTGTTAGCAGCATAAATGCAATTTACAAGGAAACGCCTGAATTGCCTGCTTATAGTCTGACCGAGGAGGTCAACAAACATGACAACCGAGCATACAGAAACACATCATAATGTACTGAGTATTTCATCTTAGTAGAAAACATGACGGCCTGTTGTCAGGGGAAATTCCCGCTCCTTTACTGAACAAAGTGCTTCTCATTTGTCTGAATACACAGAGCAGTAAACACAACTGTGCCTGCTTCAATTGAGGGTGTTTTGCCCTGTCAACAAAAATATGTCATTCATTTCCACCCTATTAGGTGCACATTTCCTTTTCCTTTTTTTTTTTTGAGTGAGGTCATTCTAACAGTAATATATATACAGTGCTGTTATTGCACTTTTCATTGCGGTGTGCGCTGATTACAAAAAACTTATCGTCTATGAATTTATTAATTAAACTGTGACATGCCATCTGAAGTGGATATTGAAGGGGAGGGGGTAAGAGGAAGTGTGTGCATGTGTATGTGCACACCGCTCCACATGAGATAAATATCACAGTAAAATGTCAAGGGAATCGGGTGTATAGATCATGCACTCAGGCTCCGTATTCAACAGCACATTGCTCACTGTCATCTGGACTTTCTAGTTTATTACAGCTTGGCCAAACCCTCAAGCTGTGAATCATGCTTCTGAAGCACTGATTGGTTGGTTTTTGTCCTACTCCCTGGAGGTCAGGGGGGGATAGACTGTATGTATTTGAAGCATAAGAAAAAAAGGACTAATATATAGATATGTTGTTATAAGGAGTTGTATAAGTCAAACACAACGCAAAGCTATCGTTACAAAGCAGGGAAAAGGTAAGATAAGATAAAGATAAGATGTATTTTATCGATCCCAAATTGGGAAAGCCAAAGCAACCAAATGTTCTGTGATGGTTCAATGCTACTGTTTTCTTTGGTTTCATATTCTATTTCCATCTAGTTTCTGCAGCCTTGTCTTTTGTTGGATTTTAACAAAGTTAACAATCATCCTCATGCAAAAAATAAATCCTCCTAATGGCAGTTTTCCATTCAGAGCTTCAGGAAATGAATCAAAGTATACTCGCAGGGACTGTTAAATTTAGCTAATTGTCATTCATCCCTATTCAAGTGACAATTGTTATAACAACGACATTCTGTGAGTAGGGCTAACTTTGAGCCAAAGATAAGACTGCATGGTTTTAAGCTCTGAAAGACATTGGAAGTCAAGTCGAACCACCCGAGGGGCTGGCTTGTGGAGAGGCTGGAGCAACATCCAAGAGAGAATTTAACTGTGGTAAGTTGGTCTTAGACCATAACATAAACACTTGAACACAATTGAAACCTAAAGTACCTGATGACATTCATTCCTAAGCATTGAAACATTTCCTTCAAAGCAGTAGTAGTAACACAACCCAATCTCCTTAAGACTTTATGAGTAGACTTCTAATTTGTTTTGATGATTCTGATGAAGCCGACATCTTATGTTGCTTTTTTTTACCCAGAGTAGACGAGAAAATAGGAATGCAACAGTTGAGTCCACTGAAAATTCCATAATATTAAATGTATTGGGATAAAACATTATCTCTGTGACACAAAAAAAACAAAACACCCCAAATGGATGACTGCAGTGATGTCTGTTCAGCTTCGTACAACAAATACACAATTGTCCAATTGTTGCTCTTGCTACATAATAGATTCTACAATTACAGTACTTTATTTTACCCCTAGACCCTGCCCAATACAGTCTCCTTAAGACCATTCTCACACAAAATGACATCACTATGTTTTGATGTATGTGAAAGCAGCATTCCTTGAAACATAAGGAGCTTTGACACACAGGAAGCCTGGATGTGGGGGTGAAGCAAATGATGGAGAAAGAAAAACGAAAAAAGATGAAGTGAGTGAAGAGGAAGTGAGAGTAATGGAGATACAGGTTGTGTAGAAGAGGAGGAGAAGGAGGAGAAACAAGAGGAGGAGGAGGAAGGCTTGTTCACACTGCGCCTCCACGCCGACCTTGCACATCCACACACAGTGCAGGCAGCAGATATTAATAACTCCTTATTAATATTCATCTGCAGTGGAGATGTGAGGCCAGAGTAACCCAGATACCAGCCGTCTCTCTACCTGTCTCTCTCTTTGCGTCGTTCCTTACATCTGATGTTCATGATCTCCATTAGCTGAAACTTTCATCCAATTTGCTGTGACTGAAACAGCCTAAACATCTTCTGTAACTACGTTCTGAGAGATGATTGTGGGCTATATTACAAAAGCAGAAATACCAACAACACTTGTAAAATGTAAGATAAGTTGATACACGGTGTTTTTATTCCTTTTTCCGTATTCCCATATCTGCATGTCTCCCTATTTGCTATACTTATTATTTAATCCTTTCCCTTTTCTTCCTGTTCTGTCTTTGTCTTCCTGTCCTCTCCCTCTTCACATCTGCCCTTTGGATCAGTAAAGGGCAGAATAGGCTCCTATAGAGGACAGCATGTGCCATTCAAACAAAGCCTGCATGCAAATGGCCTTCCGGTAAAGTAATTGCATTCATTTTTTGTACGCACTGAATGGAATTCCTAACCTTGGCAAGGTCATTACTATGCAACACCATCTGACCACCTGTACAGTTCAGACTCAACAGTGTCTGGAATACATATGTGGAATATTTTAGCCTCCATACTTGTACATGTAAGTGCCTGATCCATGTTTTTTTTTACACAAGGTAGAGAAATAACGTACACACCATTTAGAAAATCAACAGCAAATACATCTTGTGATTCCTAGCTTTCTTGACAAAACAGCAACTATTAGCATAGACAGAGTAACACAAGAATACCCATCATACCAAAGACCCCCATCACCTCAGCAACAAACTGTTCTGTCTGCTGCCGTCTGGCAGGCGGTACCACAGCATGAGGACTAAACCACCATACTCAGGGACAGTTTTATCCCACAGGCATTAAGACTGCTAAACACCTGAGCTCTGCTAAGTGCCCCGATAAACATTCCTGTTTGTCATCTTGCAATATACTTATTTATATAAATATTTATCCACGCAAAAAACAGTATTTAGTTTTGTCTTAATTTACATTATTTTATTTCATACTCTGTTCTTGTACATTTCATATTATATGAACATGTAGACTTTTTGCAATACTTTTTATTTTGTATTTTTGTATATATGTTGGATTGTTGGAGGAGCTCAGGTCATAAGATTTCCATTCCCATGTCTACACTGTAGCTTTGTGCATATGACAATAAAACCTTTGAATCTTGAATACCTACAGATTATGCAATATATAATGCACATTTACAGTTCATTACACACTTTGATTCTCGTACGTATAACCTTGTAGACTTGCTAATTATATTATCAAATTATATTTTCACATTACCGCTGCTCAAGAACCTCTTCAGATTCATACTGTTAAATGCTTTATTATATTTCACGCTGTTGTAAGTACACAAATGTGAACGCATTGTTCAGTCAATATTCTTTCCACATGTTCTGAACAAAAAAAAGAAAAATGCCACTTTTGAATTCCTGGTCTGATTGTTGCATTTGTATCCTTTCTACAGCCAGGCTTTGGAAATATCAACAGCCAGATTCTAAACGCTGATGGATGTCTGCTTTGGCTGCTAAACTGCCGTTCTGGCAGCAAACCAATCAGTTGCATATTCAATCGCTCTCTTCCTCAAGTCATCTTGTAAATACATACCCTTTGACGGTAAAATATGGAAAATCAAGCCTGAAAGCTTTCCAATCTCCCAATTTCTCTGAGTGACCCTGGCATACCTGTACAGAGGTTAATTACTCTTCTCTGTGGATAGGTAACTATGGTAAAGACAAATGGCTGAACCTTAAGAGCTCAAGAGAAAGTTTTCCTCTGAATATACAATAAGTGTGATTTTTGCGCATGACCTGCACACAATCTAAACTTTAAAAACTAACCCACGGCTTATTTTCAGTTACTCTGATCACACAGATGAATCATGTCCAAACTGTTTATACTTAGCACCATTTATATTTTTGTTTAAAAAACAAGTCACTCACTGCTGTATCTTTAAAAATAGAAGACAAGGATACAAATTGAAAGGAAAAAACACACTTTAAAGTTCCACTGAAAAGACTGAAATGTTTAATTAAATGTATTATGTCAACATATTTCACATAACTGTATTGTGAGAAAAATATTAGATTAAACTTAACATTTTTGTTCTCATCCAACCTAATACAGTTATATGACATTTGTAAACTTTATTAGTGAAGGTTTCAGTTTTTTCAGTATTGTTTCTCCTCTTCCCTGCTCTGTTTACAGTCTTTGCCAAGCCTGCCAGCGGGACCCACCGACCTCACTCTGCAAAAAAAGGCTGCAAAAATGAGCAAAGCATGTTTCCACCAACTGGTACAGCTGCTGTGGGGTCGACGAGAGGTTAAAGTGGAGTGTAAAGGACTTCTCACCTAAAAAATGCAACAATAAAACTGAAAAATCTGCATGGACAAGGTAATGATGACAGCACTCTGCCTCGTGCCCCAGAGCAAGGAATGTAGCCCTTATTTCCAGCATGCAGTGGGAGGCTGTGGTTTCACTGGGAAGCTGCCAGCAGGGAGTGTGTGTGGCTGTGTAAATGTGAAGCAGAGCATTGATGAAAATGTAGTAAACATTCTTAAAGCTTGTTTCCCTGGATGAAAAGGGTAAACAGATTTAACTCAGGGTAACAACACAATTTGTAAAGTTCAAGCCCATGCTTTGTTGATTTTTATTATATCGTCACCTATAATAAAAATATCCCCCAATGCTACTGTGCTGATGTTTCTCTTCCTGCTGACATATCAATGCTGCATCAAAGGACAACAATAACCTATAGATGCTGCAGCCATGACTATAAGCCTCTGTAGACACGACAAACACACATTAGCTGTTTCATACAAGCATCTGAATTTTTAATGTCTTTTTCTCAGCCTGCTATGATGTAAGGCATATTGAATTTATATATTTCATGTAACATATTTGGCTAAGTGTTGACAGATGGCGATATTGAAGTGTTATTAATGGGATTTCAAAGGGAGATTCATATTTATTTCGGGAAAAATACAAAAGTGGGCTGCTATTTTTTTCATTCAACAGGCTCCTATGGGAAGCTTTTTTTTAGCTTCAGAAAGAGCTAAATCTAATTATATTTCCCAGCCTCATATTCAGTGTGCTTGTTTTTACTTGTCCATTTAGAGTTGAATCTGATTGTTTTTTACAGTATAAGAAAGAAACATGTTAACAGACAAAGCCAATTGTTTAACAAAATGCTATCAATAAATGATCTCAATTTAGCTATTGTAAATGTTATCAACCATATGTCTATACTCTATAGGATACATCTTGTCACGATTCTCATGTCTAATTGTCTGATTGTGTTCACCTGTAGCCCTTGTGTTTCTCCTCCCCTGCCCGGCTGTTTCTCGTCCTGTGATTACCTCTCCCTGTATTTAGTCTTGTCTCTTCCTGTGTTCAGTGTTGGTTCGTCTTTGTGACTGAGTTCCCCGGTGAGTGTTCTGTTTTGTCCAAGTTATTTTTATATCCTTGAAATAAAGGTGTTATCAGTTTATTCTGCATTTGGGTCCTGCCTGCTTCACTCTACCGTAACAGAACCAACCAACCAAGAAATTGACCCAGCAGATGATCCATTTGAGGTGGCTTTCGTCTGGCTTTCGGAGGTCCACGGAGGTCCACGGAGCCTCCAAAAGGCTCCTAAGAGAAGGAGTCGCAAGTCCAGGGCCCCAAACAGCCCGAGCCCCAAAAGCCATTGTTCCAGCCCCAGTCCTGGCCCCAGCAGCCATGGTTCCGGCCCCAGTTCCGGCCCCAGCAGCCATGGTTCCGGCCCCAGTTCCGGCCCCAGCAGCCATGGTTCCGGCTTCAGTACCGGCCCCAGTAGCCATGTTCCCGACTCCAGTTTCAGCTCCAGTACTGGCTCTCCGGCCGATGCCAGCTCCCCGTGTCCTGTCGGCATACCGGCCGACTCCAGCACCCTGTGTCCTGTCGGAGTACGGACCGTCTCAAGTCACCTCTCAAGTCACCTCTCGAGTTCCCTCTCAAGTCTCCTTACAAGTCAACTCTCGAGTTCCCTCTCAAGTCCCCTCTCGAGTTCCCTCTCAAGTCACCTCTCGAGTTCCCTCTCAAGTCCCCTCTCGAGTCTCCTCTCGAGTACCCTCTCGAGTCACCTCTCGAGTTCCCTCTCAAGCTCCTTCTCCAGTCTCCTCTCGAGCTCCCTCTCAAGTATCCTTTCGAGTCCCCTCTCAAGTTCCTTCTCCAGTCACCTCTCGAGTCTCCGCTCAAGTTCCCTCTCGAGCTCCCTCTCAAGTATCCTCTCGAGTCCCCTCTCAAGTTCCTTCTCCAGTCACCTCTCGAGTCGCCGCTCAAGTTCCCTCTCGAGATCCCTCTCAAGTCACCTTTCAAGTCAGCTCCCGAGTCACCTCTCAAGTCTCCTCTCGAGTTCCCTCTCAAGTCCCCTTTCAAGTCACCTCTCGAGTCCCCTCTCAAGTCCCTACCCAATGTTCTGTGCCGTTGGAGGTTCCGCTGGGGGTCCTGCCAGCTCCATGTCCAGTCCCGTTGGGGGTCCCGCCAACTACTCTTCTGCCGGGGGTCCTGCCAACCCTATGTCCTGTGCCGTTGGGGGCCCCGCCGACTACTCTTCTGCCGGGGGTCCTGCCAACCCTATGTCCTGTCCCGTTGGAGATCCTGCCGACTACTCCTCTGCGGCTTCCTGCCAACCCTTGTCCTGTTCCGTTGGAGGTCCTGCCGCACCTGTCTCCGGGGGTCCTGCCAACTCCTGGTCCTCTTCCGTGGGGGATCTGCCGAAGCCTGTCCCACCGGCTCCGGTTCCTGCTGCCTTCCGGAGCTGTCCCGCAGCGCCTGCCTGCCCGTTCCTCCGGAGTTGTTCGGTCGCCGCCTGCTTCACCCTCGAGCCCGGCCCCCTGAGAGCCTTGGTCTTTCGCCTCGAGCCGGTGCCTCCCTGAGAGCCGCGGTCTTCGCCTATGTCTCGAGCCCGGCCTCCTGAGAGCCGCGCTTCGCACCTCGAGGCCGTCCCCTGAGAAGCCGCGTCGATCCTCTCGGGCCCGGCCCCCTACATTTACTCTTCCTGCTGCTGCCTTCGCACTCATGCTCGGTCCTCTGAGTTCGCCCGCTGTGGTCTTCGCCCCTCCATGGTCTCTGGCCTTATTGTCCCCCGGGCCGTCCACCCGTGACCCCACCATGGACTCTGCCTTGTCCCGGGAGCCCGTCCGCCCGAGACCCCACAAAGGACTCTGCCTTGTCCCCGGGCCGTCCGCCCGGAGACCCCACTTGGACTCTGCCTTGCCCCCGGGCCGTCTGCCCGAGCATCTCTTCTTCGCTTCTGCTTGGCCCAGGCCGTCGCCCGAGATCCCTTCCGGGCTTCCGCTGTGCTCCTGGGCTGTCAGCCCAAAACCCGTCCTCCAGACCCCCTCCACCCACCCTGCTTGAGGTTTTGGACTTTTTGTGGGGGTTTTTTTTAGGGACGTCTGAATCCCGTCCCTTGAGGGGGGGCGTTCTATCACGATTCTCATGTTAATGTCACGTTTGTAGTTTTGTATGTACTTGGGTTTATTTTGCTATTCTGGTTCTCCCTGTCTTGTTTTCCTCCTTGTGTATTGTCTGGTCCCTCTCTCTGTGTTTTTCCTCGCTGTCGTTAGTTTCCCTGGTGTGTCTAATTGTCTGATTGTGTTCACCTGTTGCCCTTGTGTTTCTCCTCCCCTGCCCGGCTGTTTCTCGTCCTGTGATTACCCCTCCCTATATTTAGTCTTGTCTCTTCCTGTGTTCAGTGTTTTGTTTGTGACCGAGTTCCCCAGTGAGTGTTCTGTTTTGTTCAAGTTATTTTTATATCCTTGAAATAAAGGTGTTATCAGTTTATTCTGCATTTGGGTCCTGCCTGCTTCACTCTACCGTAAAACATCTTCTTTAAACATGTATCATTATTAAGATATATAAGTTTCTGAGAAAAAATCATGTTTTTTTGTTCCTCAAATCCAAAAGCTTCAAAACTTGAACAAAACTGAAAATAATACATTAAAGGAGGGTGATATTTTAACGTTTTTCAAGTGTTCAGTTCTGATAGAATTGCTAGCGATCATTCAGGACTGCAGAATTGTATTCAAATTTGAAAACAATACTTCAGAACACCTTATGCAACAGGACTGAAGAAGATTGACATCTAAAGTATATAGTATCAGTGTGGTTAAACATTTGCTCTCCAAAAATGCACCTATCAATAGGCAATTTGCTCATTTCCAGATGAATAAAAGAAAAAGTAAAGCTACATTTTTACTTACTGCAGTTTTTGACAATAAATTAGCTCACGAATGCACACAAAGTCTTACAAAAAAAGGATGTAAAGTAAAGGCAGGACCATTAGTCCTTAACTGTAAGGACTAATGGTCCTGTCTTTTCTTTACATTCTTCACATAATAATTCACATATAACACTGATGAAAACATTGATAAGTGTACAAATAAGCTTATTTTTATAAAGCACTATCATGACCTAAAGTATGATATAACTGCATAGACTTTGATGTCTCTTAATGACTAAAACAACAGTAATGCAGTGTGTAGTCACACAACACCATCTAATCAGAGCCTCTATTAATCAGATGCTCATGTGATTCAGTATTTGCCCTTAAGCCGTAGTTAAGTTTATACTCTGCGGTAAATATCCAGAAAATCACTAATGAGAAATGTCCTTGTATAACATTTTCCTCGCATGTTTCACGCTCATGTTTAATTTCCCAGCATTTCACTCGAGTCAGATTTTCAAAGATTGTACAAGTCCGCACAGAAGCTTGACCACATGATTAGCCGTTAGCTGCTATCACCTCTCAACATCATTTCAGTTACTCTTTATTTTGTATGATCTTTTAGTTTAGCCCTGGGAGCCATGTTCATGCTCCATTATGCTGAGCATGAACACCTCATGATGTATTTGCTGCCTTCACTACAGCTCTAGCCACAGGCCTGAATAACAGATCTGAATGCACAGTCCAGTCTGCTTTCTGTTCTGCCTCACACACTACTCACTGAATATTGTAAAGTCCCTGACATTATTCAGCTGTTGTGATGGGTCTGTAGAAAAGTCAAAGAGTAATTCATCTATGTCTGTACCTAAGGGAAATACGATTGAATTGATACAAAATTATGTAAACGCAATTTTTTTTTCTCACCGAGCCAGTAAAAGCACCTTATTCAAAGGGAACAAGGGCAAATAAAAGGCTTTTTTCTTTTATCCAAGCCTTGTTTTTAATCATTTGTAACAGGATTGTATTTTACGGTAGGGTCACAAACACTTGACGGTATAAAACAATGTTTACACCATCTAAAAGCTCTCAGTTATTTAAATAAAAAGAATAACTGCACACACATTGAACTTGAATTCTGAAAATCATTACAGACAAAAAAAACAGG